TATCAAGACAAGAAAAATAATGATCCGTGAAAAAGTATTATCAAACTCTTTCTTTTAGTACGAAAGTGTCTTATCAAAGACCTATTGGTTCTGACTCGTCTTATTTAGTTTACCAAACAGCGTGATATTTACAGATAGTAATATAACAAAATTAAGGGTCAATTTTTATTTTTATTTATATTTTTTTGCTAGTCACTAACCAGAAGAATTCAAATACTAGAAAGTCATCTCTTTCTGTCCCTGGGTTCTTATCATTGTTTTTTTTAATTACTTTTTTTTAAAAAAATTATAGTAGATGTAAAACTACAATTAAGTAGAAACGTCGAGCTGACTACTTCTTTTAGACTATTCCTACAATACAAAAGGGCAAAAAAATGAGGATCATCTTTTTAAACTTTTTTCAAAGTTAATGACTCGCAAACGAGTTCACGCTTTTATCCCTTGTAGTCTAAGAGCAATTTGCAATTAATAGAATAGCTAGTTAGCATTACTGATCATATTTGTTTAGCTTATACCTACATTATTCTCGATGAATCCCTTGGCATGTTTGTTTGTGCTTGTAGGCTATCCCACCGTAGGATTCCAGCAGTTCGGAGACAAAGTCGTCATTGTGGTGTCTCTCCTTCCCGTGTCAGCAACCTAGAGAACACCCCACTGAGAAGTCTCACTATCAAGGTCCTTGCCCAATAGATCCTTCCACGTTGGAGCCATTTGAAGCTCTGTGTTGTTTTTTTTGAAGGAAAGAAGCTCTGTGTTGTTAGAGTATTAAACTATAATCCTCAACATTTGCTATAAATACTACAATGTTTTGATATAGCTGCATCGTTCTTTAAATTAATGGCATTAGAGCAATCCAGTTTCTATTCCCCTTGGCCACAAATGTGATATGGATTTTCAAAAATGATACCACTACTTGAGTTTATGTGGGAAAATTTTAGAATATTAAACTGTAACTCTTAATTCTCATAACAGTTTCGAAGTTTTGGTGTATTGGCTGTAGTGGCTACCCCATCTTTTTTTATCAAACAAGAAAATTCTAAATTGAGCTCGAACCTAACTTTTCTAACTGAATTACTTTTGTGCGCATAGCTCATAAGTCTCAAGTTAAGACAATGAAATATAGTTTTCACCATAAGAAAATCTATCTCGGTTTTGTATAAACAACTTAAGGTGTGTTTGCTAACTTCACAAAACTAATTTTAATGGATACAATATTAGCTCGAAAGCTAATTTTAAATCTGATAATAGTTGGACCAAAGTTAAACTAGTTTTTTTAGTTCAAACTTTATCCTTTAAACTAGTTCTCTTTTGGACTAACTTTGATGTAGTTAAAAGGAAAATCGGCTCTAGTCTAGTCACTTTTTGTAGTTGTCAAACACCCCCTTAAAATGTTTGGTCTTTAACCACATGTGTCCTCACCCCACATTGAAGATGTGACTAATCCTGCTCGAGGCTGGTGGCTTCCCCTCCCAATAAGTGCCGCTTGCGAGTATTGAACTTTTACGAACAAGTGCCTGGAGATCAGCTTAGCTTGCCTACCACTGGACTAACAACTTGTTGGTCACCTTTAAAAGCAAAAAAAGTTACTGTGACTTACCTTCCAGTTACCTTGATGTTAACGGGAAGGTCCGAACACATCAGGAAAATCCAAAACATTTGTTCTTCACGTCGTTGATGTTCACGAATTGTGACATATCTAAAAATGACACTTATCCAAAACTAGTGAAAGTTGTGGCATTATTTTACACCCGGCACTATTAGAAACCATCAATATTAATTAAATCCACAATTTGGAACATCTTTTGGAAAAGTTCACGAAAATACTACGCGTTTGTACTTCCCTCAGGAGACCCTAACCTTCTAATTAGGCCTCACCCTAAGAAACAAGCAAGTGAGCAACTTGTGCAATCACATCTAAAAAGGCCACAACCTTCGAAGCAAAAGCATCAACTTGCCAACCAAACACAAAGAAATCAACAACTGAGATCCACAATATTACTATTCACACGTCACACACAAAAAGAAAATATATATATACGACACATATCACGTGAATAAGCAACAAGAGAATGCAATTTTGAATTTTCTGCCGCAGTGACCGTACGTAGTGACCGCTCCCTTACCGCACCAAATTCAATACGACCACTTGCAGACACGTGCGCAAAAAAACCTGTCAACCACAATGGAAACAGCTCTACACCCTCTCCCACTTTAAAAAGCCTACAGCTGTTTCCAGTTCACACTACACTACTACTACATAAACCCCGCTCACATCTTCTACTTACTACAAACGAGTTACATTATCATCATGTGTTCAATAATGTTTTCTCTGTTAACTTTCTCTTTGATGGTTAACATTGCTTTTGCTAGCAATTTGAACAACGAGTTTGATATAACCTGGGGAGATGGGCCGAGCCAAAATGCTGGGCAACGGAGAGCTACTAACTCTATCTCTTGATAAAATCTCTGGCTCTGGTTTCCAATCTAACCGTGAATACTTATTTGGCAAGATTGACATGCAAATGAAATTGGTACCCGGGAATTCTGCTGGCACTGTTACCGCTTATTACGTACGATCTCATTTAAATCTTGTCGTGTTGATATGAATTTTTGTCTTGGGACTATTTTTGTTAATGTTTTTGTTTATCGGTTGCAGTTATCATCACAAGGGACGACGCATGACGAGATTGATTTTGAGTTTCTTGGGAATCTTAGTGGAGATCCGTGCACATTGCATACAGATGTGTATACTCAAGGGAAGGGGAACAGGGAGCAACAATTTCATCTGTGGTTTGATCCGACTAAGGATTTTCATACTTACTCTATACTATGGAACCCAAGACACATAATGTAAGTCCTTGATAATTTATGGAAACTGCAGAGGATAGTTATCCAGTAACTAGTCAGTAATCAAAGTCTTTTAGACTAGTATTGTCCAGAGGAAAAAATAACTTCAAAGTTACGATAAGAGTTATAATTTTATATTCTAAGATGTCCCTACAGATTGAGGGCTCTTTCAAGATCAATTCAAACCTAGATCAATCAATCACTTATGAATGCTAGTCATTGTTTTAGTTTTTCAGTGGACGGCATCCCCATAAGAGACTACAAGAACTTGGAATCAAGAGGAATTCCGTTTCCAAAGAACCAACCAATGAGGCTCTACTCAAGCCTTTAGGATGCGGAGGACTGGGCTACAAGAGGAGGACTAGTTAAGACTGACTGCGCCATTCACTTCATCGTACAAAAATTTCAATGCCATTAATGCTTGTGTTTGGTCCTCTGTTACCTCTAGTTGTGCTGTAAAAAGATCTGATAGGGTTTCAAGGAACAATGCGTGGTTGAATGAAGAACTTGATGCTACGGGTCAAGAGAGGATGAGATGGGTGCAGAGGAATTACACGATATATAACTATTGCACTGACTTGAAAAGGTTTCCTCAGGGATTTCCTCCAGAGTGCTCTGTTGCCTGAAATGGATAATGCTATTGAGAGCTTGCACAGTAAATTTAGTTGATTCTTTTATTTTCATTTTGCCCTTTTCTTTTTAAGTGCCTGTTAAATTTGATCAGCACTGTATGGACAAGTTTGGTGTGTAATGTGTATTTGAAATAATTGAATTTTCCATCACAAGAATAACCTTATATATATATTTCGGGTACCAAATCCATCTTAGACCAACTCCAGCAGGGGATAATTGAAATTCTGATGTAAAACGAAACAGGGGGTCTATCAGAATCAGCGATTTAATTCGAACAACGCAACGTTTCGCCAAAACACATGATATTCGGTAGGAAATTAATTAAAGCAGTTAATGTGACAGATGGATTTTAATAAGAATTTGCAACAATACTCATGAACAGTTCCAATCTCAAATATTTTAATCGCAATATTAATCATCATTTTGCAAGTTCTATATTCAATATCAAAATTAATCAGTCACATGTTCAGTTCCTCTCGACTCACAATTATACTCTAAGCAGTAAATATAAGATAATAGTTTAGAGATGATATACTCATGCATTTAGCTAAATAACTGAGATTAACAGAAAATACCGAGTCAAGAGAAAACGAAACCTTCAGACTTAACCCAACTGAAATCAAATCGGGTCTGTGCTTCTCCACAAGTCTGTATTGAATAACAGCATGTTGTTTGCTGCAAGAGGGATGATCTGTAGGGATATCTGCAACTTTCCTTTCTCGCCCAAAAAGATAACAACTCTGACGATGCACATAAAGGGGATCATTCAGCACTGCTCCAGCCTTAAAAACATACAACCGCCATCTTGTATCAGATTTTCGAGCACCTGCAGGTCCATTAACTAGGAGTGTGACACCTCGAACACGATTAGTCTCCTCAGCAAGCTTGCCAGAAAGTTCGAATGGTGGTTTTTGCTTATCTTTTCCTTAGCTTCGAGGGATTCTTCAGGGCAGGGGGATGTCGGCGCTGTTTGAAAACACAGGGGAGCAAGGGAGGGGGTGGTGCTCGTGGAGGAGAAGGAGAAACAGGGGTTTGGCGGTGGTTTATTGCATGTAGAGGAGAGATGGAGGGAGGTGACTGTGGTTGTCAGAGGTTGAAGGAGGAGAACGAGTTGGGTGGGTGGTTGATTTGTTTATGTGGGGAAGAAAAAAAAAATGACGGCTGGAAGAAGAAACAAATTAAGCTTAGGGTTTCACACCCATGGTTTCACACCAAATAAGCTAACAATTCATTTCAATTATTCAAATCATCCCCTTCACCTGATTACATTATACCCTTAAATAGAGAAGTTACAGATTTTCCAAAATCTCACAAAATCTCTCACAATTAATTAGATCCCTCAAATCACTCTCTTGCTAAAACTGAATAACTACTAAATTAAACAACAATTCAAAATTTAAAATTCAAATTTGAAAAACTAAACTAATATGGGAGATTCCAAATTCTTGTTCTCATCACTTTTGCTATACGCATGTGTCATCATAGTGATTCTTAGTTTCATTTGTCTATGTTGGTTCTTGGCTATTCTGCTGAATGGTGATATTTTTCTCAATGCTGCAGGGACAGGAACACTGGTATCTGGGATGAAGTATCAATATCTATTACTGGAGTGAGTTTATTCATTTCTCTTTCTCTGTTTTCTAAATGACACAACAAGCTTTAAAAGAAGGAAAATTATCAACTCTAAACAGCAATTAGTCATATTGATCGATGTTAATATGCTGCAGAATATTGCAGTAAACTGCAGTACCCTGCGAAATGCAGAAACTCTACTACTTGAGTTTTCTATTATATGAAAATATGATTCCGGAGACCCAGTTGTATGCTTGTATAATGCATGTCTAATGTTATCCTGAAATGTCTTTTTATTGGCAACAAGATATTTTCTTTATGGCATTTCTTTTATAGCTGAACTAACATCTTAATACTATGTGAAGTTATTTATGTAGTAATTAATACTAGGTGAATATGAGTAAGTAAATACTAGGTGAATATGTAGTGCTTATCACCAGTGGTACCTCCTTTCCAATGCAGCCTGTGAAGATTATTGATCCGCACCTGGTTTCATCATTTTTTGATGGTTTTAAGAGGGCATACTTGCATACTACTGTTGAATTGGAAAACGAAAGTTCGTGGGCTGCAGAGTGTTCACTGAACCTCCAGGTGACAACAGAGGTAGAAGGAAATATTTGCTTGATTGAACACCATCAGACTTATGCCGTTTCAGTTCCTCCTGGAAAAGTTATTCAGTACACTGTTCCTCCAGTGAGTGCTTTTAGTATCTTGTACAACTTGTTGCTTTGATTGTTATTTCATCACATTATTATTGCTGTTAAGTAGAGGTTGTCATCAATATAAAGGAAGTATGGTAATGCTAACATCTTCATAGTTGGATGGCATTTTATGATGTGATAAATAAGCCAGGGGATGGCCTGCTGATAGATGACTATCATATACTTAGCCTTATATGAGATTGGCTTATATTGGTGGATGGTAGATGGACTCTGAGGATGTTCGTTAGGCTGGAAGAAAACATGAACCTGAACATGTTAGAAAATTTTGAATTCAGATGTTTTTTCTGCAATATAAAACAGATAATACTTCAGTTAGTACAGTGTTTTACTTTTCTACAAGGCTAAATGGCACTTAAATATCACAAAGTTTTCCCGTTTTGGCACTTATGTACCATGAGTTTTTTTTTTTTTTTGGCAAATAAATACCATAAGTTGTTTAAATTTGACACATTGGTATCCTTAATCATGAAAACGTGAAAATTTTCACCTGAATGTTCCTATATGACACTAACATGTTATTTTATAATTTTCTAACCATATTTGCCTGATTTCGTGGACCCCCCTTGAATCATTGTACAGTTCATGCGAACCGATTCCTGGTACATTGGTGAACTGATTCCCTCCGATACACAAATTGGTTCCCCAAAATTGGCATACCATTTATAAGTATGCATGGCGCAAAGACCCTTTATGTGCCCATACGCTAGATAGAATGCAATATGTGCAATTAAGTGAAAGGAGGCATATAATAGAATACATGAGCCAATGAATTTACTGTAACTAAATACTTATATTAATAAAAAAATAAAACGTGAATTGAAACCATGACCACAACACAAATTATGTGGAAAAAAACCAGAACAAAGCAACAAACTCCATAAAAAAAGGTATTTAAGTAATTTGCAAGAAACTATACTGAAATGTATAATTAGCTTTCTAGTTCCTACTTGTCTACTATATACTTTGGAAAACTTTAAGCGCACCAAAAAAATCTACTACGTACTACTAACCAACTTGCATACTGAATCAAGCTACCCCTTATCGAATCCAATTTTTCTAAGTGGTGAATTGTGTACCGGAATTCGTACCATGACCTACTACGTACCATGTATTGTGTAACTATGTTTCTAACCGTTAATATTTGTTAAATCTATCATTAAACATATCCCAACTCTATTTTAAAGTAGAATTAAGATAAGTTAAAAAAATTGGTACATCTAAAAATAAATTTCACAAATATTAATAGTTAAAGAGCTCTAAAATTAGCATGTAAGTAGTGTAGACAAACATTCGGTTGAAAATATTCACATTTGCATGATTGAAGTTAGTAACGTGCTAATGTTAAACAACTTATGGTTTTTCCCCCGTAAAAAAACAACTCATGGTATATAGGTGATAAAACGGGGAAAATTTGTGGTATTTTAAGTGCCATTCAGCTTATCTACAATGATATCTCAAAATATCATGTATATTTCTATGTGTATATGCTACTCTCTTTTCCTCCTTTTCCTTTCTGTTTGGTTCCTTTGAGAAGCGAATTATACATTGTTCAGATCTGACACTAGATAAGCTATTTGACAGCTCTTCTTTTACAAACCCGTGTTATGGTGGCCGAATGGTATGGGTAAGCAGTCTCTATATAATGTCGAGATTTCTATTGATGTAAAAGGATTTGGGGAATCCGATTCATGGAATCATCAATTTGGATTCCGCAAGATAGAGAACACAATCGATGAGGCGACTGGTGGAAGGTATCAAGGTTTTTACAGTTCCTTAGGTTATTGTTTTCATACTAATTAGAACACATGTTTAAATACATCAGACTATTCAAGGTGAACGGCGAACGAGTTTTCATTCGCGGGGGAAACTGGATATTGTCGGATGGACTATTGCGGCTTTCGGAGAAACGATACATGTCAGACATAAAATTCCATGCAGATATGAACTTTAACATGATCCGGTGCTGGGGTGGAGGACTGTCAGAGAGACCAGAATTCTACCATTTCTGTAAGTTGTGGTTGCTCCAAACTTTTGCCAAATGTGCTCAACAAGATCCTCCTTCAATTGAAGATGTTTGGCTCGATCTCGGAGTTCAAATCTAGTATGAATATCTGATTCAGACCTACCTTGAACATGAACTTCAAATTGAGGCAACACTTGTGTTTGGTAATCAGATGATGAGCTCGAGCTAGCAATGCTTGATGGTTCAAAGTCAACGTTTCCCCAGTTTCGACTATACGTATCTCGTTCATCCTCCACTATCATATTGTGTAAAATAATGCATGCTCTCATAATTTTTGACAAGATACTTCCTGCAAGATTCTTGTTGTTTTACAAACAATTTTGCCTTTTCGCCTTGAGGATATTGAAGTGATTGGACAAAGACAGGCCATTTCGGATAGATTCCGTCAGCAAGATAGTACGCCAAATTGTATTGATGACCATTCACAGTGAAGTTCACATGCGGAGCTTCACCTGCCTCAATGTCATCAAAGACAGGTGACCTTTCAAGCACATTTATATCATTCAATGTACCTGGCAATCCAAAAAAGGCATGCCATATCCACAAGTCATAAGAAGCAACCGCTTCGAGTATTACTGTTGCTGTGCCTTTATGTCCACTGGTAAATTGACCTTGCCAAGCCTTAGGACAATTTTTCCATTGCCAATGCATGCAATCAATACTTCCAATCATTCCAGGGAAGCCGCGTTCTTCGCCTACTTTTAGTAGTCGTTGGAGTTCTGCCTCATTTGGCCTTCTCAAATAGTCATTCTCAAAGATGGCTACAATACATTCACAAAACTTGCTGACACACTCTACCGCAGTGGTTTCTCCAATCTTTACGTATTCGTCACAAGCATCAGCTGCTACTCCATATGCTAACATGCGTATAGAGGCTGTACACTTTTGGATTGTTGATAAACCACGCTTTCCGGCACCATTTCTACGTTGGGTAAAATATGTGTCATAATTTGACAGTGAATCTACGATCCGTAGAAATAGTGGTCATTGCATTCGGTATCTCCGATGAAATTGGTAGTCGGTGTATGTGGGAGATTCGACAAAGTAGTCTTTCATCAGCCTTTGATGGGCAGCTTCATGGTTTCTCTCTATGTATGTCCTCTTATGAGATCGATTACTTGAAGCTTGTAACTCTTCAAGTAATCGTTGTTGGTGATTGAGTAAAGATTCCTCCAAATCCCATTCTTTCTGGAGTTCTTCTAAGTTAAACTCGTATGGTGGTGGATCCATTTTTTTTGAAGTAGGGAATGGATTGTTGAGTATTAATGAACTTAGTATCCATCTGGTATTTATAATACCTAATATTTGGTTTCCAGAGTTCACATGTGACTTCTACTATTCATATTTGGATTGTAGTAGAAAAGATTCGTTCATGCCTTAGCTTTTCAGAGCTCACATGTGAAGAAGATAAGATTTAGCATATCAATAATACTACTATTCATTTCAAAGACACATGTGAAAGAAGATGGCATTTGACCATTACGTATCTCACTATCAACATATCAAGAATCTTAATATCATATTTGCTCTACTATTCACTTTTCAGAGTCACATGTAAAGAAGACAAGATTTAGCATATCAATAATACTACTATTCACTTCAGAGCCACATGTGAAAGAAGATGACATTTGACATTTACGTATCTTACTATCAACATACACTCATCACACTCAAACATTGTTGGAATAACAGAGGAAGAAGATACTAATTTGGACACTCTGTAACACAATGGAAGAAGCTACTGCTTAATAATTCGATCCTTAGCATGTTTAGCAGTTCATGCTCATACTCGTCCAATTCATTTCTTTGATTTCGAAAATTTAGGCTTATCCACATTTCCATTTTTTTAGCACGTACTGCCTCCTTTTGAGCTGTTGCAACCTCTTGCATCATCTTCAACTGTTGTTCTTTCATTTCTTTAAGCTCATGGCGTTCAGATTCTATCTTCGAGTTTTCCTCTTCAATAACAACTTTTGCTCTTCTGGAAGATGATGATTTATTAAAAAGCCCTTAGCTTTTTTCTTTGTAGTGTCTCTACCTTCTGGTCGTACAAAAGAAGGAATTGATGAACATGAGATATCACCTTCTCCACTACCTTTTCTTTTACCTCCACTATTGGCAGATGCACCGGATCCAACCATATATTTTGGTTCATTACGAACCAACTTCCATTCATCAAGCAAAGCAAACCTTTTTTTAGTTTCTTCGACAAACAAATCTTGAGCTCTTGCTATGTAGTCGTCGTCTGACCAACCACTTCGTCTCTCTGCCAATGCTTTTCTGAATACACCAACCTATTTACTGATTTTTTTGTTGAGATCGCAGTAATGGCTTTTACATTGTTGTTGAGTCCTATGAGGGCCACTTGTTGAATGCTCATTCAGGTAAGCATCAATTTTACCCCAAAAAGTGTCCCCCTTTTGGCCACTGCCCAATTCACTATCATTACTGAAGTGAAAATAACTAGTTAGAAGCAGTTTGTTTTGCTCGACACTCCAAACCGAGTAACTAGATTTAGAAGTATCTTTTTGTGTTTGGGGCAAAAAACTATGTGGTGTGTCCTCACCAACATTTCCAAGAGATATTTGAGTGGAAAACTCAGGTACATCCGTTGATCCACTGCTAAAATGAGGAGTAACTTGCTCGGTGTTTTGATTATTGATATTAGGGAAACCACCATGATTACTTCTACCGGTTTGTTGCCCATATTGCATATAAGGAAAATTATAAGGATATTGCATACCAAAATTAGATGGCATCATAAACGGCATCTGGAAATTGGATGGCATGTTTTGAAGATTTTCTGGACGTTGGTTATTGGAATTTTGAAGTTGGTTAGGATACATGAAAGGTGGGGGATGATTAAAATTTTGATTAGGGTCCATATTTGAAAGATAGCAAAGTTTTTGGAGGAAGATAGAAATCTTGAAGAAAATAGGCAAAAAATTTTGGTGTCCAAATGAAGTAAATTTGGACTCTATTTATAGATCTCGGAAAAAGAAAAATTATGGTGATTTTTATTTTTTTTATTTGATCAATTTATTGGTAAAAAATACCATTTAAAAAAAGGGTGGAAATGAAAATCGCATTGCCCAACCAAAAGTTGCCACATGTCGCATGTGCATCTCATCTCCTTTACTTTTTCTCCCGCGCATGAATTGTCTTCCAGCAACAAATAATTGAGGAGACTAAAGACACATGGCATAATTTGATTTGTTTTCCTTTCAATAATACCCTATTTATTCAATAATTCCCAAACAAAGCCACATCATTCTACCTTTCCAATTATCCGTTGTTGGAGCCAATTATCCCTCCAATTATCCATTGCTGGAGTTGGTCTTACTAATCTTATGATCGCTCTTCATGTACTTTTATTTTATTTTATTTTATTTGGTGAGTTAATTGACAATCTGGCATACATTGATATTTATAAGAGCAAGTACAGCAAGCTCCCAGTTGGGAGTCCTAGTCAGCATGCTCTCAAGAGCTCTCAAACATTTTAGAATAAAAAATTAACAAATTAAGCCTTGGGAGGCACTCCTTCTTTTATGGAGCTCCAACAAGCTCCTAGTTAGGAGCTCCAACAATATCAAAAAAACCCCTCTTCTATTTTAATATTTTACCCATTACTTTTAATTATATTTAAACCTCTTGTATTTTATTTCTAATCGTTGGATACGGCCTTCGAGGGAGCGCACACGGTCTTCGAGGGAGCACACACGGTCTTCGAGGTAACTCGCGGCTTTCGAGGGAACGCACACGGTCTTCGAGGTAACCCGCGGTCTTCGAGGTTAGGCACGAAGTTCGAGGTATCACAAACTTTGACCGTCAACCGACTGATTCCTATAAAATTCGATGGCTTCTCTCCTCAACCCATCATCTCCCAGAATAAAATGTCTAGCTCATCTAGCTCTAGCGATGATGAAATGATGAAGACGTTCTTTCTTATGGGAGCTGCTGTTGTTGAGGAAGAAGAACAAGAGAAATGTTCAACTTCAGTTCAACACAAATGACGTATCGTGCTCCATCGAAACCGACTGGAAGGCCACAATCGGTTGTTCCAAGATTATTTTGCTGACGCACCAACCTATCCTCTTTATTATTTTCGTCAAAGGTTCAGAATGACGCGTTTGTTATTCCTTCGAATCCACGACGCAGTCGTCGAACATGACAAGTACTTCGTCCAAAAGAGGAATGGTGCTGGACAGTTAGGACTATCTAGTCTTCAAAAGATTACTGCAGCTATGCGGATGCTCGCATATGGAGCATCCGCTGACGACTACGTTCGGATCGGTAAAAGTATGTCGCTTGAGAGCGTGAAGAGGTTCGTTCGATCGATTATCAACATCTTTGGAGAGGAATACCTTCGTGCACCGACTAATGAAGACGTTGCACGCCTGCTCGAGGAAGGCTCACAACGAGGTTTTCCTGGTATGCTTGGGAGCATCGACTGCATGCACTGGACATGGAAGAACTGTCCAACTGCCTGGCAAGGTATGTATACTGGACATTTTCATGAACCCACAATTATTTTGGAGGCCGTAGCTAGCAAAGATCTTTGGATATGGCATGCCTTCTTTGGACTGCCGGGGTCTCACAATGACCTTAATGTTCTACATCGTTCCCAGGTTTTCGCACAACTTGCGGAGGGAAGAGCTTCACCGTGCAACTATATTGTCAATGGCCACGAGTATAATATGGGATACTATTTCGCCGACGGGATTTACCCAGAGTGGTCCACATTAGTGAAGACTATTCCAGCACCTCGAGGAAACAAGCATAAGTACTTTGCTCAACAACAAGAAAGCGCAAGAAAAGATGTTGAGCGAGCTTTTGGCGTGTTGCAAGCTCGATTTGCGATTGTTCGTGGACCAGGACGTTTCTGGCAACCTTGTGTGCTGAAAGATATCATGACAGCTTGTATCATAATGCATAACATGATCGTTGAAGATGAACGTGATTGTCAATTGGACAATAAC